GAGAGAGAGAGAGAGAGAGCGGGAGACATGGAGAGAGATAGCGCGCTGTGGCGGTTGCGTTAGCTAATCACGGCACATTTGACGATCACAACCCTAAATTCCGTGACATATAAACACACTAACGCGCGACAATTAACAACTTTTCCCGTCGCTATCGCGCAGAAAGAGGAAGAGAAAAAAACGCGCCATTCTCGCAGACCACCGCGAGATCGTACGGTTTTGTATCGTTATTATCACACATCCTGCCTTCGCGTCGCAAAGCGCTACTCCCTGACGTCATAGCGACGTCCTTCCGGTGACCCTCAATTATACACGAAGTCATCATGTCGCTATCGTGCGAGATTTCCTACATAAAAACCAATAGAATACCGCGTAAAAAACAATAGAAGAACGCGTAAAAAACCAATAGAATACCGCGTAAACAAACAACAGAATACCGCATAAAAAACCAATAGAATACCGCGTAAACAAACAATAGAATACCGCATAAAAAAACAATAGAGTAACGCGTGAAAACCCAACATAATAGTGATGACCCGCCATGGTTGCCCTGCGTTACTGCTGCAGCTGCCAGCGTGCGAAAGGCGCAGTGTTGCCCTTGTTATCTGTGATGCTTTCTCCGCCTTCCGTTCAGGCGCGCGTTGAAGGCTAGCACCCCGCTAATGACACAAAGTCACGTCATTTTCGCGTGACTTCCCCTTGCGAGCGCTCAGGATTGGCGTTTGACAAAGCGACGAGACAGCAGCAATAGAAGACCTTGATAACCTCTCCAACTGTCCCGCCCCCACGGTGGCCCCATCTCCCGCTGGTGTGTGTCTCTCTTCTCCCGCTATCTCTCTCTAATGTCCCCGCCCCACGGTGGCCCCACTACGTGTTTACCCAATTCAGACCCTCCGCAAACGTGCGCGTCGATCTTCTCCTGTGACTATTTTATGTCTCGCCTCTCTCCATTTCTCCCTCTTTTTTTCTTCGCCCCCCACCCTATCTTAACTCACTCACTCACTCATTTCACTCACTCACTGCTCACTTACTCGCTGATCTACTCACTCAACTTACTCACTTACTCACTCAATCAGATCAATCAATCAATCAATCAAATCAATCAATCAATCAATCAATCAATCAATCATCAATACTCACTGCGCGCTATGTCCTCTCTCTCTCTCTTCCACCTCTCACTCGCTTGACCTTCTATCCTTCTTTTCACTCATCTTGTTTAGCCACCCCTTCTTCCCCTTCTCTCTTGCTCTCTGATCACTCACTCTCGCTCTCTCTCTTCTTTCGTCTTCTACGTCACTCTGCCACTCTCTGCCTCTTTTCTGCTTCTCGTCTCTCTCTCTTCTCCTCCCTTCGTCTCTCTCTCTCTCTCTCTGCTTCTCTTCTTTCTCTCCTCTCTCTCCCTCTCTTTCGTCTCTCTTCTCTCTCTCTCTCTCTCTCTCTCTCTCTCTCTCTCTCTCTCTCTTCTCATCTCTTCTCTCCTCTACTCTCCTAACGTCTCTTAGTCAGCACACACATACAACACACTCTCTCTTTCTCTCTCTTCCCTCGCATCCTACGTCGCTCTGCCACTCTATCTTTCTCTTTCTCTTTTTTCTCTTCGTTTCTACGTCTCTCCTCTCTCTTCTGTCCTGCTTCTCTCTTTCTATCATCTCTTGCGTCTCTCTATCACCTTCTCGGTTCGTTATATGCAGTCACGTTCCGGCCATTAGAGCCGAATCAACATTTACTCATTCACGCGTTGTTCGGCATCAACCAGCGTAGTGCGTGCACCCGCACGACTCACTGTGATGCAGACAAGCGAAACAAATGGCGGTTTGATTCTTTCCGTCACAGTGATTCGACCACGGCTGCGGGCAACGATAAAAGTGTTATCAGGCCCCCCTGGAGCGCTGTCGTCGATGGCAGGAATTTCCGACAGTGTTCGACCGCTGAGTGCACGCAGAAACGCAATTTCGAACGTTCATTGTTAATCCGAATAATTCGTTTAATCGCGGTTCGATTTTAAATTTTTTTTTTCATCTTGGTCGTAAATCGAGAGCATTTTTCGTTGAATCATCGCAAATTGTTCCCGGCGACCGTTTTTTTTACGCGTACGTTCGTCATTAATTCCGAAATGCGGCTGACAGCTTGAAATACGCGGCGTCTCCGATTTTCGGCGAAACAAGTTTCTGAATTTTAAGTCGTTGAAATTCGAAAACACAAATCCCGCTTTCACGCGTGCATCACTTGAGACGCATAACGGTCGTCTAAAACAACTTGACCATAAAGAAAAATGCTCCCCTGAAAAGTGACCGTTACATGGAAGAAACCTCCTGGTGTTTTTTTGGGTCTCTTTAGATGTTTTTTTTCTCCGCTAACATAGAGGCCAGATGTTAATGTTGTCGCATCGCGTTCTTTTGTACAACACACACACGACATGTGACAGTCACACGACATGTGACAGACACACACCTGTGTCACCTGCGACAGCGTCACCCGGTGTCACCAGGCTGCGCGTCTGACAAGTATACTATACCATACGTCATCATTCATATTTATAAAACCGTCT